ATATAGCATATATAAATATATAAATTTATTTCATTCCCTTTTTTTGCTTTAAATATTTATTGAAGTTATTATAATTCAGAAAAGCATTTCATATAATTTGTATTTATTGCATGTATTTATTTTGAAATAGATTGTGTTAAAATAAGGTTAAAAATTATCAAATTTACTTTAAGAAAAGTATAGTGAAATATTTTTTTATATGTATAGATACACCAACAACAAATTTGTATCATTCGGCACGAATCTCGAGACATGACACAGTACCAAGATGACATTTCAAGCAAGAAAAGTTTAAATCTTGATAAAAATTCATTTAGAGCTCCGATTTCAGCAAACTTACAGTCAAACTAACCGGCTCGGTGAGACAGACCTAATGATATAAAAACTAGTCAAATTTGAGTTAAAGCAAGCTCAAATCATGTCATTAAACCACCCTTGGAAGATTTATTATGGACATATTTGGAAGGTCAAACAGATATCGACACTGACAAGTTTATACTCGAATCGAGCGACTCGACATGACGAATCCAACGAGCCCAAGATCATTCAATTCCAACATTGTTAAGACACTCAAATATCCATTAAACGTGACATGATCGGAGGAAACTCTCTGGACTGTCAGATCAAAATGGTTGATATGCCTGCATTAATTGCACCCAGAACACTATAAATAGACCCCCACCCCTCAAATGAAAGGAGAGCTGAAGTCTAGAGAGAGAGTCTGAGGCCTTGAGGAGAAGTTGCAGCTCAGCACCACTGTCGACCTCCGCACCGCCGACCTTTGACAACCGTCATCGACTACCACTAACCACCATCGATTACCACCAACTAGACCCCATCAGTTGATATTGTAATCTAAAAAATATAATTACCCTTTCCCGTCTGTGGGATAAGAGATTCTTGTAATTAACAATCAATAGTGGATTTCCGCAACTGGGTCAGACCCCGTGATTTTTCTCTTACGGGTTTTCCACGTAAAAACTTCTGGAGTCATCACCGCTTGTTTCTCTTTCATTTGTGTGTGTGCTGAACTTTCGTACAACGCTAAAACGAGAGTCCGTCGCGAATTTTATAGTACGCATCAAGGATGTTCTATCATCTTGTTCTATTGGTTATAACATAATGGCAGTTATTAAGGTGAGGATGGCCACAGAGAGAGTTTTTCTGTTTTGGTTGTCAGATGAAGATCCTTATAGATTATAGGTCTTTAATATGCGGTTTGTCAAGGAAAAGCTTGATAACTTCTTGGTCAACTGAAGCAAAATTTGGCATTATGGTTTTCTATTGTTATTGATTGGCTATTTAGATAGGTGTTCCATACATTGAGCTAACACAATAGGGATAGTAGTTGGGTGCCTCCTATATTAGGTCATTATAAGGACTATAGTAACTATTATGATGGGGTGGGGTGAGTTGTAATATATGGATTCAATATTAGTAGGCGTGTAGGACTTACGACTGTAATATCTGGATTCAATATTAGTAGGCGTGTAGGACTTACGACCATAAAAAAGAGAGGCGGTATGTACATCGGGCAGATTGAATAGTAGGGCGAATATTATTTCGTACGCCTTCTTTGGGCGTAGCATCCTTTAGATTGGGCTATAAACACTATCAAAAAGTAGGAGAAAGCGACCCAACTAGCCTAAGTTGTGCCAAACCAATGTTGGCATGAGAAATTTATCACCCAACTAGTCTTTAGCTTGCCGTGTTGCCCTATGAATTAGGCTTAAAGTTGGATAGAAATGAAAGCAATCGAAGTTATTCTATTGTTTTCAATTGTATAAATTGTATTAAATGTTTAGGGATTTACTCATCTAAAATATGTGAACTCACTCAACATTTGAGGATGTGTCACTCCCTTATGACAAAATTGGATAAAGTGGAATTATTTGATTTATTAGTTGATCCCAATCACCAACCTCCTCTTTATATTGTGGACAAAGCTAGACATTGACACTGATCTTTTGCTAGTAATTTTTTAATACATTAATATCAATATTTTTTTTCTTGTTTATGCTCACGAGTATTTTAATGTCCCCAACTAGTAATCTTTCTTGCGAGACGCACACCCATCGAAAAAAAAAAACTAGTAATCTTTCTATCATAATTAGTATATAGAATAAATAACTAAAACTATATAAAATTATGACATTTATTTTTATATTACTAATATATATATAATAGCTCAGTTAAATCATAATTAAATATACAATATCATTTTATAGAAAAAATCATCAAATGCATTTGATTTACAAAAAAATCAACAATATTACCATAATTCAAAAATGTGAGAAATCACCTCAATCCTTGCTGATTTATGCTCTTCTTCTTTTATTTATTTATTTATTTTTTTTGCTCTTACACTTCACTTAAGTTAAAAAATTATAATCATTCACTAAAACATCATATTAATTAATTTCATTTAAATTATGCAAACTTCCTTCTCCTATATCTCTTAGATTTTTATTTACTGATCCTTATTCAATGTTTAACATAGTGTGATATTTAAATTACTAACTCTATCATAATACATTTTCTTGTATACATTATCTAGATTAAACATATGCAGTTTACATACCTCTATTAGTATTTATTTGTTTATTATTTAATCTTTTTTTTTCTTTTACTTTGATTTGTTAATTTTATTTAATTAATTTCCACTTTTAATTATCATTTGCAAACTCTTAATTTATCATCCTAATTAAATTATTTATTTTTTATGTTTATATGTAACATAATATAACATCATAATCTAATTTATTATCATTTTTAATTTCATTCTTTAATTATGGCAGACCTTTGGATAATATTGATTGTTTAGTATTTATTTGGCATTACAATTATTTCTTCATTTAATTTCTCATGATTTAAATGTTATAAACAATATGGATATATATCTATGATTTTTAAAAAGAAATCATAAATTTATCTACATCGACCTATCTATTTTTTTTTCGTCTAATATTTTTTTGTATAAGAATTTAGGTTGACTTTACTTCATATTTAATGAAGATTAGGAAAATATTTCTTTAAATTATTTAATCTACATTATACTTGAAACTAACCTTAGAACTTGTTCGATGCTAGAGCGACTATTGATATCTTTCTCCTTCCTCATAGAAATCCTATCATCATAATTTATTCTTAAATATTGACTAGATTTTAAATATTGTATATATTTGGAATTTATAATTTATAAAAATTAGAAAAATTACTCTTCCCTATTATTGTCGATGTGATCAAACTCGCAAACAACACAAGTATGTCATGTCTCCTTCACTATTGATCGAGTTCATTCATGCTCTCAATCTATGACATGTACCTGAGCTTAATGTTTCACCTCCTCTGCACTTATTTTTTAAGCTAGGTTCATCTTCCTTCATGCACAAGTGCTCCTTCGCTCAAACTCCCTATCTTCTTCAATATTTTCCTCCATTTATTTTAACCTCATACAATGGTCACATGTGAAGCGCACGTTACTATTCGCATGCGTCATTGCTCATCACACAAGCATCACTCACTCTACGCTTCCACTTAATTCTTGCCCGTGCGTTCTTATAGTCTAAGCTCAATGCTCATCGCCGCCCTCGACTTCTTTCGAGTTTGCACATGGGACTCATCCAATCTCTCCTCTATTTCACTCACACCGGTCTGTTTCCCCTTCTCGCTCTCTATTTATCCCATGCACATTGACCACCTTTCTCATTTCATCTCCCTCACCATCTCATCCCCCTTCATCTTCCCCGCCCATGTAAATTCTAAGTACTAGCTAGTGCTGATTCAATTTTATCGAGACTATAGTTCAAGGCATTACAGAGACAATTGACTCATAGGCAACAATATCATCTAAATTGCCTTGAGAGTTCAACTTTGCATTGTTTATAATGGATTAAATAAGACTAATATTTCCACCCACGACAAAAGCATGCAATGAGAAGTTCCACCGATTAAAGCATTAGTGTGTTAATAAGTTTGTAAGCATACCACTAACCTTACCAAACACATCCTCAACCATTGTTTGAGATAAGAGTGTAATTGAGACCAATCCACTCATGAGCTGATTTAGGCTCAACTCGATGAGCTAACAAACCAAGTTTGGTACCCTAACTCAAATCGTTATCTCTTGAGCTCGATCATTTTAACAAATATTTATATAAAATACAATCAAAATATATTAAAAATTTAGAGTTGAAGCATAAATTATTGTGTAATTGCCTTCACAAATTTATATTTTATTTTCTCGTATCTAGTAATTTCTTATTATTTCACTCATAATTGTTTTTTTGTTTTGCCTTTTGTATAAGAATATTTGTTAAATCAAAATCATTTTCTCTTTGATAATAAAGAAGCCAGCTTGTGAATCGACTTGAACTAGTTAAATTAAATTCATGCTTGGGCTAAAATTTGATTAATTATTCAAGTGTTAAATTAAATTCATTCTTGGGCTAAAATTTGATTAATTATTCAAGCTCAAGCCGGGAATGTCTCGAGTCCAACTCAACTCATTTACACACAAGAATTAGATTATGTTTATTTAAGGCAGCTATGGTAACAATGTTTTATTCACTACTTAAGTTCCATAAATTAGTGTTCTAAAGTGCAGCTACGAAAATAGTCACTATTGCCATTACTATGTATGCTAGCATGAATGTAATTAACTATAAAGGCTTGCATTTTAAGAATACTCCAATAAAATCATAGAGTCCTTAAAAAGGGAACACAATCTCTGAGTAATGTTCTATCTAATACCAACCCACCTATTATCTTTCGAAAAATTGGTTATACAAAAGAGCTAGGCGGCGATTTTGGAAAGCCACAGACAAATGCACAATCCGTATGTTTCGTCTTGAGTCATTTTCACATGGAAACAACTTTTATTATTATTATTTATCATTATAACCTCAAATGAAGACAATTTAACAAAAATGGAAATTTACCTACCGTAAACTAATAGCAGAACTGCACCATCTTCCTTACTTCCTATTCTCCATCCACAGACATGGGAGCTGTATGGAGAAGGAAAACTCACAGAATTAGTTGATCCATGCATCCAAAACTACCCAGAAGAGGAGGTTCTCAGATACATCAAAGTTGCATTATTCTGCACTCAAGCCATAGCTGCAAGAAGGCCTTCCATGCCTGAAGTCCTCCAAATGCTATCAAAGCCTGTAAGACTGAATGAGAAGGAACTAACTCCACCAGCCATCATTCAGGATTCAACTGCGATTGGTAGAGGATTGAAAAGTTTAAGAACTTCTAATTCTTCCACAAACACAAGTTCCATTCCTGAGTTCACCTCTGCTCCTGAAATGGCTCCAAGGTGATACTCCTCAGAATAAGGAATGGAGGATGAGAGATTTGTTACAGGTTCTTTTTTATCTTTGGTTGTGTTCTCTGTATAAATTTTTTTTACTTTGTTAAATAAATTGTTTGTGCATATGTTTAGTAAATTATAAGTGTAGGTGTAGCATGAGGGGCTTATTATTACATAGATGCAAATATCAGTAAAGCTTATTTTGGTAATGCAGAAAAGTTGCTTTGTTTTTGTAAATTCATTTTACTACACCTACAATTAATTTCATAAAAAGTTCCTTTGTTTAGTAAATTAAATTTTCCATACATGGCACCTTATTCATGAAAATGGTGTAATTAATGAATGAGAAACAATCTCTAGTTACTCAAGAGCCCTGGCGACAACTCCCTGCAAGGGTTCAGATGTTTGAAAACACCATTTCAATTGAACATGAAAGTGCTTTCGTGATGCATATTTTATATTTATTGATTCGTCATAAAAAAAAATATTTATATCCAACACAAATTTCGATGTTATTTTAATAATAAACATTTTAAATTTAAATTTAAGATCATAAGGGCAATAATTTTAGCAAGTTAATGGTCAAATTGATCGACCCATTGATATCATAATTAGTTTGATTCGGGTCTAAGCCCAGATCAAGCCATTGAAGTATAATTTGAGGTTTTCAATTGTTAAATGAATTATCAAATGAATTTTAAATTTAACATATCTATAGTCAAATCAAGTGTCTCGAATAGAGGTTCAATGAGCTTAAGCTCGCTGAATTTTGAGGTCATTAAAGCACCCAAATCTTTAAAAAAACTCATGATCAAAGGGAATCAATATAGTTCCTCTGGTCAAGTGGTTGAGAAAGTTATTTGTAAAAAAACCAAGATGCCTTTCCCTCGAACCCCTCTTCACTTGAGGGGAGAAGAAGAAGAGGAGGAATTCCAAAGCTCTTTTGGACTGAAGACAAGCGATAGCTTCTAGCCTCCGTAGCTGTCGACCGCCATCCAACATCATCCGTCTGCCGTTGTCGACTCTTATCGATTATCGCGACCGACTGTCTGCAACCTCTATTAAAAAGCGTCATATCCCAAATATAGTTGTAATGTAAAACACTTGTGTTGAAGACCTGTCGATAACTTCTGTAGAATAGATCAGCCCTCAAAACTCGTGTCAAAAAGACCTGAAAAAGTAGGGCCCGAGGTCTTTCCTGACAAACACAAAATATCCCTTCGCGCTGATTCTCCAAACCCCAAAGACGTAGGATTAATCAAATCGCTTCTAGCCTACGTAGCTGTCGACCGCCATCCAACATCATCCGTCTGCCGTTGTCGACTCTTATCGATTATCGCGACCGACTGTCTGCAACCTCTATTAAAAAGCGTCATATCCCAAATATAGTTGTAATGTAAAACACTTGTGTTGAAGACCTGTCGATAACTTCTAGCCTCCATGGTTTGTGAGCCACCAACGACCACAAATTTCGACTGTCATAGCAAATATATGATGTTTGTTCCTAGCCTTCGTACTTTTTGGCCTCCATAATAACTGGTTTGCGAGCCACCAACGACCACAGATTTCGACTGTCATAGCCAATATATGATGTTTGTTCCTAGCCTTCGTACTTTTTTTTCTTATGCTGTATAGAAACAAGTGTTATCTTTGTGTAAAATAGTAGTGTCGTTTTTCCAATTATAAGTAAATGGTGCATTTTTTTTCTACTTGCACACTTATAGTGAATTATTTTGACTGTGTCAGACATTGTGGTTTTTTCTCTTTTCAGATTTTTCTAAGTAAAAAATCTTAATGTCTCTTCTTGTTATTTTTATATTATTTCTGTGTGTGTTGGATCTTCGTTCAACGCTAAAGACAATAAATTATCACTCTACTATTGCGAATTTTCATTCACGCAATAATTATATTTGCACTTATTTTTCAATATCATGCTTAGATTAAAATTGATCAGTATTTTCATTTGTGGGAGAACACTTGGCTCAATTTTTATAAATTTGAATTCGTCATACATATATAAACATCTTTCTATGTTAATTTATCTGGGTTTAAAGTAGTTATGGTGATAGAGGCTATGTTTTTTTTCAAAATCTAATAATTTCGTCATATTTTATCTGAGTGTATGATAATCCAAAGAGTCATCTTTGTTGATCTAGCTGTGCTATCTCAATTGAATTTTGTGGGCAAGTTGTCGGTCGAGCTATCATGTTGAACGACTGATTGAACCAATTGATCAACTTGCAACTTGACTTGAACTCGATCCAGAAGATATTGATGATACATTTTGACATGTAGCATCACTATTTATAAAGCCAACAACATCTTATTAGTATTTTTTAAAGAGGCGTTTACAATTGTTATGTATTTAAATATCTCACGGTTAATTTTTAAATTTACACGTAACACTAAAATCTTTAATATCACATCAAAAGTAACACTATTATATTTTTTTTTTTTATGTGAATGCATATTTTCATGTATAAATTTAACCTACTAAAGTGTTATGTGTGTGTGTGTTTGTCTACGTAATATATATTAAAAAACGGACTCGATATTTTGTAGTCGATCTTAGGCTGATAATGTGCTATTCGAGGCAAGCCTTGAACCCCGGGGCATTAGGGGACTCACGACACCACTGCCAACCACAAGTGCCAAGCAGTTTGAGTTTGCGCGTGCTTGCCACATAAACAGTGATATTTATATCGAAATTCCGCACATATTTTTCTTGGTTTTTCTCAAATTTCCAACATTTTGATTATGACACATGTAAATGAGTCAGTTCATGAGTTAAATATGAAGATACATATTAATTGTTAGGATAAGCACATATAGAGCACAAAAATTTGTTATCATCAAAGTGAGAATTTGAAAAATGAAAAATATGTTAGAATTTTAGCTTGTCCTTTGATATTTGATTGAATTTGAAAAATGGACGAAATAAGATGCTTAATTTGTAAATAATAATATTTTAGGTGCTCCATATGTAATTGGCCCCTAATTTTTAAATATGTAAATTTTTAGTGTTAGGTATGTAATTTCCCAGATAACTCATCTAGAAAAAATAAAATTCACGTAATTTTATACCCTTTTCATATATTTTACATCTAAAGATGACAATATAACTAATTAATTATCATTGGTCAAAACTGTCAGCGCACCGACTGGCCGAGCTGCCGCTGCTCTCTTCCCTCCGAGCTTAGGGAGAATATTGACAGTTAAAACGAAGAGAAACCCCATCCCCTCTATCCTCACCTCTTTCCGATCCAAAAGGTCAGGAATACCTAACTCTAGATCCATCAAAACTTTCCCATTCGATTTCACTCTCGGTCCGTTACTTCTTCCGTTTTGTCACCGGATCTGGAAAACCGACGCGCGGCGAGATGGATGGCTCGGTCTCGATCCGAGTACCGTACCGGCACCTGAACGAGGCGGAGCTTGAGCTTATTGAATTTGATGGAGAGATTGAGGAGAGGAAGACGGGCAGGACCCCGACGACGCTTTCGGTTTCCGGTTCGCAACCGTCTTCATTCGCACATTTCGATAATCCTACTTCGCAGTCCGGAGGGCGCCAGGGCAGCGGTTTGAAGACGCTGATTTTTGGATCGATGGTTGGCGCTGGGGTCCAGTTCGGGTGGGCGCTGCAGTTGTCGCTCTTGACGCCTTACATTCAGGTGAAGCCTTGTTATCTCGATCCAGCTTTGTAGGTTTTGTTCATTTTTCGGTTGGAATAAGTTGGGGTTCAACTGTTTAGGAAAAGGGCTTCTGCGCGTCTTAAGATAACTGTGTAACTTTAGTAATCCTGAAAATCTGGATTTACGGTCTGTTTGACTATAAGTAGGATTTAGCAAAGCCTGTTGTTGAATTCTGATTTGTAGGTGAATTGCACTCAAGGAATAGAGCGCAAAGAAGGGGAGTGAGAGAGAGGGATAATGCATGGTAATCTGTCGAAATCAATGCTGTCTCATTCATACAATGATTACCCAAACCAAAGTAGTCATTATTAGAGTATTTGTCAAAGTTTGTAAATACAAATTTAGTTGATAACAGCGAAGTCCAGAAGAGTGAGTTAAATTATACTAGTAGGAGGGAAAGTGAAAATTGTATTTTATAATCTCATGTGTAGTGGGTGTTAATAGAATTTTGTGTTGTGTGATGTTCTGTTAACCGACTCTATGCTGTTGATAAGCCAGATGTGTATACGATAAGTTTGGTTGAGATTGATTATGTTGCATTTATAACAATACCCATGAACCTATTAATAGAACAATGTGTGATAAGTTTCCTATTTTTCTGAAGTTTTCCAGACCATTCTCTTACAAATATCTCAAAAGTGAGCTCATTATAGAGCCTTGATGCATGTTTATACTGATGAAGGGCTGCTCTTTATGTGAATGTTTTGTTTACTGCTGATTGCTCGAGTTATTGAGTTAGTTTTTAAACATTTTCTTGAAGAGTTTTAGAGTATACTTTATTGTCCATTTATTTGTATCTGTTTA